CATAAACTGGTAAACAAGTGTTTACCTGACTTCTCTTAGCTGCTTTAGCCTATGATCGAATCCAAAGAGAGGGGTCATGGGAACCTCAAGTCATAGCCAGGTCGGACAGAAATTGTGGGTAATCCAGGAACCTACAACTTGCAGTTGGCATCTGAAGTTGGGACAGTCCCATGAAGGGGAGCCTGTAACCTGCAGGGTCTATACTAACTCCAGTTAGTGTCCCAATGGAGCTGAACGGTGAGACACCCAGTTGAGGGCACAGAGCCCTGCTTGACGTGGGAGCAAAACCGCACACATCCCACATCAGAGGTGTGCAGAGCATGGCAGTAGCGGGGAGGGGGTAAGGGAGAGACATGCGGTGGGGAGGAGGTCTTCCCAACACCCCACCCCATGGATGGTTCCTCCTCCTGACACCTGCCAGGCGGCCCCCATTGGATTATCCACTTCGGCCTCTGTCACATATAACGTGAGATGTTGTCTCAGAAAACACCGGGGGTGGGGTGTCTGGGTGGCTCAGTGGGTTAAGCCTCTGCCTTCGGCTTAGGTCATGATCCCAGCGTCCTGGGATCAAGCCCCACATTGGGCTCTCTGCTCCACGGGGAGCCTGCTTCCTCCTCTCTCTCTGTCTGCCCCTCTGCCTACTACTTGTGATCTCTGTCAAATAAATAAATAAAATCTTAAAATAATAATAATAATAATAATAATAATAATAATATTGTGTGGTTAAGTGTATGGATGCCGAGAAGAGGGCCTAACCCAGACTGGAGAGCGAGCTTCACAGAGAGCTTGGCTGTTGTAGGAAGTGGGCTAGCCACAAACCACATATGGCTTTTAAACTTTAATTAAATATTGAAAATTCAGGTTCCACTAGTCCCCTTTCAAGCACTCAGTAGCTACATATGTATTACAGAGCATTTCCATCATCGTAGAAAGCTCTATTGGCAGATGCTGGTCTAGGTTGAGGGTGACAAAAGGGGAGTTGTCCAGGATTGGGGGGGGACAAAGAATGTCCCCAGAAGTCCCTGTATATACAGAACAGCCTTCAGATGCTGAACACAGTACAGCTGCTGTGGGAAGTGTCCAGGCCAGTTCGTGCTGTGCCTTGTCGGTCATCAGGAGTGCCCTGCTAAGGACAACGGGGTGGGGGGTGGGAGGAAGCTGCTGGAGCTTTCGGCCAGGTGAGAAGAGTCATCAGGTGTGAGTTTTAGACAACGGGTCAGAGGAGGACCCATCATGAGACAGTCCCATTCCTCTAGAATCCTGGACCAGCCAAAGTGGTAGTGACGTGGGTGAAGAGAGATTTAGGGCTTATGGGTGACAGACTGGGGATTGTTGTTCGTGAGGAAGAAGGGAGCCAAGCTTAGGGCTTGTGTTCTGTGGTTGGTGCTAACAGTTCCCTTCGTCTGGTGTGGAATCTGAGGAAGAGGATGAGAAACTGGGTTTTTTTTTTCCAGTGTTGGTACTTAAAGTGAGTGGGCTTCAGTGATCCGGAGGCCCTCGTTCCTCAATAGTACCCACTCTGTGGCTCACCACAGACCACACTAGAGAGAGAACACGAGGGCTTTGAGCCTGGGGGATTCCTGGGGGCAACCGTGGGCAGCTCTGTGGCTCCAGAGTGGGCAGGAGAAGGGGGGGTGACAAAAGCCTGTTGGTCCCCTTTCTCTCTTTTTCAACCACTCCTCTGATCCCTCACGCTGTCCCTCACTCCGGAATGGCTCCCTGCTCCCACTGAGGTCAAAGTGCCCCATAAAACAGCTCCACTCAACACGGCCTGTTTGTTTGGGATGTTTGTTCCTTCTGTTTCTGCTCCCACAACTTTTTTTTTAAAGATTTTATTTATTTATTTGACAGACAGACATCACAAGTAGGCAGAGAGGCAGGCAGAGAGTGAGAGGGAAGCAGGCTCCCTGCTGAGCAGAGATTCCCAATGCGGGGCTCGATCCCAGGACCCTGAGATCATGACCTGAGCCGAAGGCAGAGGCTTTAACCCACTGAGCCACCCAGGCGCCCCTGCTCCCACAAATTTTAACAGCTCTCCCCTCATTCACAAAGCTCGGGTGGACCAGTTCTATTTTTTTTTTCAAAACACATTTTAAAGTAAAGTTGTAGCTACAAAGTCAAAATATATGTGTATATTACACTGGCTTATCCACAATAACCTCACATATCATTTGTGGTGTGTCTACTATGTTTTGAAAAATACTACCTCAACCTGCTTATTCAATGTGCTTTTTAAAATTGTTATTTTTGTAGCTGTCTTATTTTCCCTAGTAAACAGCAAGCTCCAGACAGCGAATAATATCGTCCTCACTTGGAAGATCCTAAAACATCTAGCAAAAACATCTTCCAGATTTGCTGAATATGCATTCTTGAATCAGTAAAGCCTCAATCGGCATCAGGCACTGTGATCAGGAGCTGGGAGTAAAAATAAGATCAGTAATAAAATTTGGGTTTGAATTTTTTAAGACTATTTTATTTTTTAAAGATATTATTTATTTATTTGACACAGAAAGAGAGAAAAAGAGAGAGAGAGAGTACAAGCAGGAGGAGCAGCAGAGAGAGAAGCAGGCTCCCTGCTGAGCAGAGAGCCCGATGCAGGACTCGATCCCGGGACCCTGAGATCGTAACCTGATCCAAATGCAGATGCTTAACCCACTGAGCCACCCAGGCACCCCAGACTACTACTTCTTCTTCTTCTCCTTCTTCCTTTTTTTTTTTTTTTAAATAGAGGTTTTAGGTTCACAGCACAATTGAAGGGAAGGTACAGAGAGTTCCCATATACTCCTTGCGCCACACATGCACAGCCTCCCCTATTATCAATAGCAGATTTTCAGGGAAATGGAAACCTTTCTTCCTTAAGCCTCTGCCTTCCAGAGAATTCTGCAGTCAAAGAGAAAGAGAAGGTGACTTGGCAAGAAGGTGGAAAAAGAAAGCACGTGTTAGTCATTTGAGAAGAGGGAAGCACTCGTGTTTACACGAATCTTGACAGTGTCTGCTCACACAGAATGAGGAATATGTTCCATTGGTTGAAAAATCCAGCCTGACCATATTAAGGAATTCACCAAGAACATAGTCTTTGTCTCCCAAGGGCTTCTTGGATTAATGGGGGAGCTAAATGGACATGTTCAATGGACACATTTATTTATATTAGAAGTTATGAGGCTGAAGGGTGAGGAGAAAAAGTAGCAGGATGACATTGGAAAGGCAGTGGGGGAACCATCTGTGAAGGACCTTGCCTACCAGTCTGAGGAATGTGACCTTCAGCCTAGAGCAGAGGCGGCAAACTTAAAATCCCACAGAGATCAGGTACGAAAATGAGTGAAGCCCAGCAGGTAATAGGGAGTGGTGGGGTTTGGGGCAAAATGGAGAATGCTTACCCTGTCTGAGGGGAACAGCTACACTCAGCTCCAGCTGATTGTTATTACGTGGGATTGTTGGCCCAGAACAGCCAGATCTTCCAATTAAAAAAAAAAAAAAAAGTCTGGGAACCCAGGTTTTTATAGGACAGTCCTAAGTTTTTAAAACATGTGGCCCAAATCCAACTGGCATTAGAACGCAGAATGGCTTACAGGCCATATAGCGATCACTGCGGTCGCTTACAAGGAGCGAATGGAGGGGTTTTGTTTTTTGTTTTTTGTTTTTTAAAGGATATGATCCCATCTGTGCTTTAGAAAAATTACATGGTGATGTGGGAGAGGGATTAAAGGGAATAGATTAGAGGAAAGGAAACCAGCCGGGAAACTTTCTCAATAGTTTCCACAGGTGAGAGGTGGCAGCAGTCATGGTGGGGTGGGGGGAATGTCATTGGGCTGATTTGGAGTCCAGGATTCAGTGGGAAGACCTTTGCTATAATCAGCATCTGAAAAGGGGCTCCTGGGTACCTCAGTCCATTAAGAATCTGCCTTCAGTTCAGGTCATCATCTCGAGGTCCTGGGATCCAGCCCTGCATTGGGCTCCTTTCTCAGTAAGGAGCCTGCTTCTCCCTCTCCCTCTGCCACTCCCCCTGCTTGTGCTCTCTCTCTGTCAAATAAATAAATAAAATCTTTTTTTTTAAAGATTTTATTTATTTATTTGAGAGAGAGACAGTGAGAGAGAGCATGAGCGAGGAGAAGGTCAGAGGGAGAAGCAGACTCCCCATGGAGCTGGGAGCCTGATGCGGGACTTGATCCCGGGACTCCAGGATCATGATCTGAGCCGAAGGCAGTCGTCCAACCAACTGAGCCACCCAGGCGTCCCAATAAATAAAATATTTAAAAAAAAAATCGTCATCTGGAAGAAGGAGTATATGCATTTTCTCAATGCATTTCCTGCCCCCGCACCCCTTTCCTAAGCTGGGAGCTGAAAGGCCCAGGGCAGACAGATCACCTCTAAAGCCCGAGGAGAGGAAGTTTTAGCAAAGGCTCTGCTCTTGGGTGCAGTCTAATTTTACCGTGATTATTTTAGAGATAGACTCCTTGACTAACTGCCCAACCCTCATTCACCCCACCAATGGGCTCTGCACGTAGTTAAAATTAAAAGCGTATCTATCACTTGGTATTTGGCTTTTTTGAACAGCCAGGGGGAAACTCAGAGCCAAATCCTCTTTTGCAAACAGCAGAGAGAGGAACTGGGTCCCTAAGAGTTAGTTGCTTGGAGGTAGACACGGGAGAGGTGGCTTCGGATCCATTGCATGGTCTTGCTGGTTGAGCAACCCTGTCGCTTGGACCCAGGGAAGGATGCAAAAGGCAGGAGGCATGAATGGAGGGCAGGAAAGCAGATGCATTTCACAGAATTTTTCTAACACTCAACAAGTGCTGTTTTCAGAGCTTTTTTTTTTTTTTTTTTTCCCCTCCACAGACCCTTCTGAGCTTTGAGTGCCGTATTTTTGGGTGTGGGCAGAGGAAATGACCCTGAGGAGCTGTGGACAGAGCAGAGCCTCCCCCCTTGGGCACCGTCCGGGGGAGAGCCCCATGGGATGGGGAGAGGACGGGGCAGTCAGGCAAAAGGTTAGGGGAGGAAAGCAAAGGCAGAGGCCCAGAACGGCTCCAGGAAATGTTTGTATTTCTCCACAGGGAGGGAGGACAAACAACCTTTTCTCGTGCCTTCTGGGCAGCTTTGCACGCTCCCCAGCACAGGAGTCTGCACAGCCGGAGTGGGGCTGGAAAGAAAAACCGTCCTGGGGCTGGACCCAGCGCCCGCTCTAGGGCATGAATCTCCCCAAACCCGCCAGCCGCTCCCCAGAAATGACCACTTGCCTGTCAAAGCCTGGCCGTGCTCCGTGCTTCACCTGCAGGGGAGACAGGTAGCGTGGGACAGCCTGCCCAGAAGGGGCCTCCGGAGTCTCTCATCTCCTGGCTGAAGTCCAAGGTCGCCTAGCGGTGGCTGCGTCCACCCACACGTGCAGTCGGGACCCGCGGAGGCCAGGGGTGAAGGAGTCAGAAAACCAGCGGCCGGGTGAGTGGGTGGCATTCAGGGAGCATCTGTGTCTTTGCGGGGGGAGGCTCCCGGGGCCACCCGGCCCGTCCTCTGTCCACCATGGACAACGGCTCGTGCTGCCTCATCGAGGGGAACCCCATCTCTCAGGTGATGCCACCGCTGCTGATCCTGGCCTTCGTGCTCGGCGCGCTGGGCAATGGTGTCGCCCTGTGTGGTTTCTGCTTTTACATGAAGACCTGGAAGCCGAGCACCATTTACCTTTTCAACTTGGCCGTGGCCGACTTCCTTCTCATGATCTGCCTGCCCTTCCGGACGGACTACTACTGGAGACACAGGCAGTGGGCCTTCGAGGACATCCCGTGTCGGGTGGCCCTCTTCATGCTGGCCATGAACAGGGCGGGGAGCATCCTCTTCCTCACCGTGGTGGCCGTGGACAGGTACTTCAAAGTGGTCCACCCCCACCACGTGGTGAACGCCATCTCCAACCGGACCGCAGCTGGCATCGTATGTGCCCTTTGGGCCATGGTCATCCTGGGGACTGTCTATCTTTTGATGGAGAACCATCTGTGCGTGGATGAGAAGACCATATCCTGCGAGAGCTTCATCATGGAGTCGGCCAACGGCTGGCACGACATCATGTTTCAGCTAGAGTTTTTCCTGCCCCTCGCCATCATCCTCTTCTGCTCCTTCAAGATTGTTTGGAGCCTGAGGCAGAGGCGGCGGCTGGCCAGGCAGACCCGGATGAAGAAGGCCACCCGGTTCATCATGGTGGTGGCCGTGGTGTTCGTCACGTGTTACCTGCCCAGCGTGTCGGCCAGACTCTACTTCCTCTGGACGGTGCCCTCAAGCGCCTGCGACCCCTCTGTCCACGTAGCCCTCCACGTCACCCTCAGCTTCACCTACATGAACAGCATGCTGGACCCCCTGGTGTATTATTTTTCGAGTCCCTCGTTCCCCAAGTTCTACACCAAGCTCAAAATCCGCAGCTTGAGACCCAAGAGGCCAGGACGCTCCGAGACCCAGAGCCCGGAAGAGATGCCAATTTCAAGCCTCTGTCGCAAGAGTTGTGTCAGCGTGGCCAACAGCGTCCAGAGCCAATCCAACAGGCAGTAAGATCTCCAAACGTACGGGATGGCCCTGAAACAGGCAGACAGACAAAACCAGGGAGGACAGACCGATGACCTAGAAAGAGTTGGTGCTAAGGGGCTGAGAGGCTTTTGAAAATACCGCCCGCCCTTAGCTGTATCCTCTCGCTCCATCTGGAAATGGAATGCAGGTTACTATGCCTTTTTGGAAGGTTCCAACTGAGGAGTGAGTCAGTTGCCTTTCTATGACCCGGCTGCAATGACGGGACAAGATGGGCATGAAATGGGGCATGTGTGTATCGGGTGGGGCGATGGGAAGAGCTCGGCTCCTGTGTGGTTTGAAACGGCTGAGTAAATGGCGTCAGCGTGGAAACCAGTCATGTTCTCTCTCTAGGGGAGTCGGGGAACTTAATGACTTAGCGGTATTTCCTAACCTCTGACCTTACCTCGTTACTCGTTTTAGAAAGCAGACACCAGAGTAAGTCAATATTTCAGACTGAGTGAGGCTCATTAGAGGGGATGTCTTGACCCTGGTGACTGTCATCCTCACAGGGCCCCTGGGTAGAGTTCTGATTTCTGGGTAGCCCGGGAAGATCTGCTCTGACCTTCTCAGAGCTCCACATTTTTCTGCAAGTCTTTGCATTTCAAAGAAGGTCCTGGGGGCTGTGTTTACCTGCCCTCATTTTTCCGGTGGTGGGGGGTGTGTAGCTGAGTGCTTGGAAAAAGTCCCGTTGGCTTTTGGGAAGTGCTGAGTTCAGTGTGATTGTTTTGGCCACTTGTTACAGGACTGTGAGTTGAGATTACTTATTCATTCATTCTCCAAGTGTCTGCTGAACGCATATTCTGTGCTGAGCACCCGCTAGTATCCCTTTTACCTGGGGGGGGGGGGTCCTTAGTCAATTCCTGTGTGACCGTGACCGCTAAGTATTCGGGGGGAGGGCAGACAGTTTAACCCTCTCACCCTCTCGGTGAATATAGTTTCTAGACCATGTTCGTGGCAAACATCAGTGTATTCCTCTTGATGATTCTATGGACTGAGAAGGTGCCTCTATCCTGTATTAGGGGGAGGGCGTCCAAACCAATCCTTGCTTTGTTCTCAAGCCACAAGAGTGCTGAAGATCGCTCTTGGCTCTTTGGTTTACATTTCTCAGATTTCCAGAGTACTCTCTGCAGCAGATGACCTTCCCAGCTTTTAGTTCTCTGGGCCTCGAAACACTCCTTTCGGCTGTCTTTTTAATTTTGTTTTGCAGAGGAACCTCACAGCCCAGCGAGGAAAAGTATGGGCTCTGGAAAGTCCGACAAAGCTAACTTTGAATCCCAGCTCGACCGCTGACTAGGTGTGTGGTCTGGGGGAAGGTTTTATTTCAACACTCAGCTTCCATTTCCTCATACGTGAAACAGAAGGAACAAGAGTGCGGATTTCAAGAGATTGGTGGGCAGATTCCAGGAACGTGAGCTCCCGAAGCGTAGGGGTTCTGTTCACTGTTCCGTCCTCCCCAGGGCCTAGAAGTGTGCCCGCGCATAGTAGGTGCTCCGTAAATATCTAAATGAATAATCATAGGTAGGTAGAGCATGAAGCTTTGTGCCTCGCAGGAGAGAATGTGATGACTTCTGACATCCACGTAGTTTGGATACAAAGTTGCTGAGGCATGAAGCCCGTTTCCCTTGGGGTTCAGAGTCCCCGATTAGTTGCTCTGTCATCATTACCTGAATTGCCCTGCTCCCCAGCTGCCTGGGGAGGAGGGAAAGCAGGATTCTTACACACTCATATTCTTATACGCTTATATTCATATATGCTCCTGAAAGAAATCTGTGGAAGCCCACGCTTCTGCTTTGGGTCCTATCCCTGCTCATGATTCTTCTCTGGACGGCTCCTCCTTTTTCGCTTCATGTGAATAAAACCAGTTTCCAAAACAAGGCCTTGTTCTTGCTGTCTGTGATTCCTAAGACTTTACCCTTCCAGGAAAAAAAGTATAAAAAAATCCAGAAGCTCAGGGCAGGCAGAGGTTCTCATGAAAAAAAAAAAAAACAGCAAGAACAAACAAAAAAGGGGGGGGGGATGAAAAACCCAAACACAGCTTAGGCTCTGCTTTCGCCTCCCTTTTTAAATTCACAGAATGTGATGAAAGAAAATCTTGTCAAGGGTTCTTCAGAAACTGTAAGGACGAGGATTACAGTTTTGTTTGAGTCAACACATGACTCTTTTGGGCTCATCCATGAAGCTGGGGCCCTAAATTTTATCTATGCATTTACACACACACACACACACACACACACACACAAACACATATGGGTTGAGATGGAGTAGAACAGATGGGCTCCCATAGGGACCTAAATATTCACCTTCCAGTGATGACACAGTAGGAGCGGGAAGAGGTTAATATTTTATCCCTTGAAAAAGATTCATTCATTTATTCATTCTGTCTTTCAAGGAACATATAATGGGCACCTGCTCTGTGCCAGGCACAGTAGAAACACAAATGGAAAACACGGCCCCTGATTGTGGTTTCTATTGTAGAAATCAAGGGAAAAATCCAATCACCCTTCAGAGTAGCCAAATGAAAGTGGTAAGCCTAGATGCTGGCTTCACCCTGACCTTGGGGGGTTGGGGAGGGCTTCTCAGAGGAAGTGACTCCTGAACTTACCCCTGAAAACCTTCAGGCAACCAGATGACTCAGTGGGGAAGGGTATCCCAGCGAGAGAGGGTGTGGTGAGAAAGGTCACTTGGGAGCTGCGGGAAGGTTAATAGGAAAAGAATGAAAAGTCCTGGGGGGCTCCGAGGCAATCTGGGAAGGGGTGAAACCGTGAGTTCCACTGGGGAGAGAGAAGATCTGTTCACAATTCTTTTTTTTTTTTTTTTTTTTTTTTTTTTTAGAGAGGGATTGAGGGAGGGACCGTGGGAGAGGGAGAGAGAAATTCAAGGAGACTCCCTGCTGAGTGTGAAGCCCCACGTGGGGCTCCATCTCACAGCCTGAGATCACAACCTGAGCTGAAACCAACCCAGCCACCCAGGTGCCCCTCACACCTTTTCTTGCTGCAAGATTCATGACTAGCCTTTCAGATTCGTTGCTTTTCAAAAAAGAATGAAATTTCTTTAATTATCAAAGGCAGATTATGTTTTTGACCAGAATTAAAAGAATATACAGGGGCACCTGGGTGGCTCAGTGGGTTAAAGCTTCTGCCTTCGGCTCAGGTCATGATCCCAGGCTCCTAGGATGGAGCCCCGCATTGGGATCTCTGCTCAGCAGGGAGCCTGCTTCCCTCCACCTCAGCCTGTCTCTCTGCCTACTTGTGTTCTCTCCCTCTCTGTCAAGTAAATAAATAAAATCTTTTTTATAAAAAAAGAATGTGCAAATACATAAAGAAGTTAAAGTCTTCCTTCCGCTCCCCTTAATCTCATTGGCTAGAGCTGAAGACACTTGGAACAAATGATAGATCTCTTTGGGGGTATACACACGCTTGCACAGAGATGACGAATCTCGTATTGTTCTGCTGAAGCTGGATACATAGAGAGACAGTTTTGCAAAGTATTTTCATCATGAATACTTCCTACAGCAGAACAGAGATCAAACTCATGGTTTTTAACTTTATTTCATTGTATAAACAAACCACATATGGTTTACTTAACCAATGGCTATTTATTTATTCATTCATTCATTTATTTAAAGGTTTATTTATTTATTTGAGAGAGGGAGAGAGAGAGTGCAGGGGGAGGGCAGGAGGAGAGGAAGAGAGAGAAGCCTAAGCCGGCTTCCTGCTGAGCGTGGAGCCTGACTCAGGGCTGGATCCAGGACCCTGAGATCACCACCTGGGCAGAAACCAAGAGTCAGAAGCACAACTGACAGAGCTGGGCTGAGAGCATAGACCCTGGAGACTGAACATCTGGGTTCAAATCCTATCTCCTTTACTTACTGGCTGTGTGGCCTCAGGCAAGTTACTCAACCTCTCAATGCTTTACTTTCCTTGTCTATAAAATGGGGACAAGAATAGTACCTGCCCATAGGGTTGTTAGTACTAAATGAATTTAGATAAATAAAGCACCTAGAATAGTCTGGACTGAGCCCAGAGTCCCCTCCCTGGTCAGCTGGGAGCCTGTTTCTCCCTCTCCCTGCTACCCCCTGCCCACTCTCACTCTCACTCTCAAATAAATAAATACATAAATAAATAATTTTAAAAAGATCTTATTGATTTATTTGACAGACAGAGATCACAAGTAGGCAGAGAGGCAGGCAGAGAGAGAGAGAGAGGGATGCAGGCTCCCTGCTGAACAGAGTGCCTGATGGGCTTGATCCCAGGATCCTGGGATTATGACCTGAGCCGAAGGCAGAGGCTTTAACCCACTGAGCCACCCAGGCAACCCAATAAATAAAAATTTTTTTAAAAAGATTGTATTTATTTATTTGAGAGAAAGAGAGTGCTCAAGCATGCACAGGACTTGGGGGGGGAGGGGCCAAGGGAGAGGGAGAAGCAGGCTCCCTGCTGAGCAGGGGCTAGCGGGAGGAGACTCTGGGCTCTATGACTCTTTTTAATGCACAGAATGTACTGAAAGTGAGGTTTCCCAGCCCAGGCAGTAAGAAGTTTTGCCTGTCTGGGAAACCTCGTGAGAAGTCCAGTGTACCCTGTAGAAAGAACACTCGAGGAGGCCATATAGGCAGATACAAGACTACAGGGAATGGAGGGAAGGCCAGGTGTTCCAGTGTCCTGCTTGAGTCTAGCTGCCCCCAGACAAGAGCTGGCCAGCTGAGCCCAGTCAACTCATAGGATCAGGAAAGATAATAAAACCGTGGTTGTTTTAAGCCACTGAATTTTGTGGTGGTTTGTTACACGGCAATGGATAACTAAAACAGAAATCCCAGCTAAGTCCAAACACGAAGAGTCAATTACTTAACCTAAACCTTGGTTTTCTAATCTGTAAAATGGAGATAATGGTGAGGATAATCATAGAATATCACTCACAGGGTTTTCGTGAGGATTAAATGAGATCATGTATGCAAATCTCTTAGCACAATACCTGGCACAAAGCAGACAGTTGATAAATGATAGCATTTTTTTGTTAAGATTTTATTTTTAAGTCATCTCTACACCCAGCGTGGGGCTCGAACTCACAACCTGGAGATAAAGAGTCTCAGGTTCCACCAACTGAGCCAACCAGGGGCACCTCGCTATTATCATTTTTTAAAAAAGATTTTATTTATTTATTTGACAGAGATCACAAGTAGGCAGAGAGGCAGGCAGAGACAGAGGGGGAAGCAGGCTCCCCGCTGAGCAGAGAGCCCGACCCCAGGACCCCGGGATCATGACTTGAGCCGAAGGCAGAGGC